CTCGCAATAACAACTACGGAAGTTTTAGCGGATGTGCAGGCTTGACTTATGCTTCTCCATGCTTGTTACTTGGCAAAGATGCACAAGAACTACAAGTGTGCTGCTGTATCAACCAGCAACGAAAGGTGCCACGTTTGCCAGCCTCAGAAAATGCTTCTAACAATATTGCCTACATGCCACCGACCCCACCACGCCCCACCCCCCCCCCCCCCCGCCCCTCCCCGGTCAGGCTTGTCTGCAGGAGAGCTTGTGATCCCCAAGACTTGCAACATCATGGCCTCCTCCGTATGCACCAGCGATGACGGTGAAGCCAATGGCCAAGCCATAATACTGACCCTTCTCCTGGCCATCAGGTTCATTGGGTTGTTCGTCACAAATTAAGGAATCTTCTTCCAGTCTATCGTTGCTGTACTTCCTCTGAGACCTGTAGGTGGCAAGGAAGCGAACGTCGGCTGTTGGTGGTGGTGATGACGTTGCGGTGCTGCTCGGGAGTGGTGGCGGAGGGTGATGCAAACAAATGGAACAGCACGAACAACACGTCATCAGCATCGTCGTAATTGGCATTAATCATTAATCCCACTTGACTCTCTGTAGCATCTTCGGCCAGGAACGGATCATGAACGGTAAGAGTGATAGCAATAATCACAGCAGTAAGAGAAATAATGATGTAACATCACTCTGGTGTTTTTCGATCTTTCTCGTGGACATGATGTGCTAAACTCATGATCTTCTGCTTCAAAGTGCTGTGACATTCATGATGCTCGCTTGGAGCTTGGTGCAGCTGCGTGCTTCTGATGGAAAGCACCAACATCATCAATCAGGGCTGTACATCCGCAAAGATCTAAAAGGATAGTGCTGCGGGGCTGCTGGTTTTTTCTCATGATGATCGCAGTACGTGGGGGCTTGAAGGAACAAGCTCTGCCCATGCCCATGCGTTTTGTGGACTGAGCAACCTTGCTTGGCCGTCGTGACGTCCACATGCCACGCTGATGGTAGAAGAGGGCCGACATTCTGGACTACTCGGGCAGGTTTCGTGAGATGCTCACGGTGGTCACACATGTGTGTCAGAACAGTAAAGACATTGTCAATTGCTCATGATGGTCTCTAATTACCCAGGCTCGCATGCAAAACGTGCCAGCATGCCGTTCCGGGGGGGGGGGGTAGGTGAAGGGGAGAAAGACCCAAACTAAACCAAGCACAATACAAACTAGTGATCTCGCGCATGCCTTGTTTAATAATGTAAAGCACGCTTCATTCTCTCCGCGCATGCATTGTCTTTGCAATCCTAGCCTAGTTATATCCAGCACTTACTTCATGCAAACCTGGATGTTCTTTGTTGATGAAGTTAACACGAGGAAACGCAGGAAAAGTAGTTGAAGACTGGTTTCAACTCAAGGGCAGCGCAAATAGAAAATGAGTTAGTCCAACCATATCTCATTCACCCTGTTCCTTGCGATGCGCTTAGCTAATCAAGAAGGTCTCTTTTCGATGAAGGTCGTTCTGTACTGCGAATGGCCAAAGCCGTGCTACTGGCGGCTTCCGGCTCTCGAGCGCGCCTCTGCATGGAGCCGTGAAGAGCCGTTGGATGTGCTTGCGTGCAGCGGTTATTCTCGGGCCGGTGGCTAGGCTGAGCCCAGACAGGCCAGCACGTACAGGTCAGCTATTTCACACCACGAAGAACCCTGCAACCTAGAAGCACTTCGACAACTGTCCTCATGACCTGAACACTACAGCTCGAAATCTCTGTCCCGTCTCTTCAGCATCGTCCCATACCGGCCGGAAGTCCTCGTCGTTTTTCTTGGCAGCAGCGACATTCAGCACCACGAAAGTGAGCATGAACGTGTAGAAGTACTCGCAGACACCTGGGAATGATGATAGGCCTCAAATAGCTCTTCACGATTGCGACCCGGCAGTAAATCTGTGTTTCTGGTTTTGCCTAGCGTCACTGTTGGTGACCCAGAGGTGTTCTGCACGTTTCAAGCTTGCGGAGGCTGGGGTGGAGATTTGGGGGGTGGGGGGTGGGGGGCGGGCTCTTCCATGTAAGCTGCAGCTGGAGCGAATTTGTTGGGCCTACCAAGTGCCAACCCGAACCCCGTGCACTCCAAAGCCCCACAATCCTCCAGAAAGAAAGAAAGAATATGCATTTCCTTTTAAACCAACAGAATCCTGAAGCGCCAAATCCTCCGGGTCACTTACCGCTTCTATCACATTCTATCAGCTCAAGTCAAGGATTCCCATCCCCCGCATCCTTCAACAGTCGCCAGTCCAGAAACTCCATAGCCTTGAACCAGCTACTTGTGAACAAAAATGCTCTATCTTAGCTGAGCTGAGCTGAGCTAGCCGTATGAGGCCGTGATGACATCGTATTCTGCTTTTAGGGCTTCACGATGCGGACCTTAGTACATCTTCCTAGGGACCACCATTGAATACTAGCATGAGGCTGCTGTGTTGAACTCGGGCGCGGGGGATGTTGGGGCTTTAATTCTGAATCCTGAACCAACACCCTGAATCCTGATTCCTAGATTACGGCGAAAACGGTGTAGGGAGACAGGTACAGATTCATGTGTTCAGAAAGAAGCGGCCCCCTACTCATGGCGAGTTTGGCGAATCTTGAACCCTGTGACACTATGCCAGCTTCCGAAGACGAATAGCAGAAAAAGAAGTTGGCAGATCTTTTCTAGCAGCCCAGCCATGAAGAGCCCTAAGCCTTGCCGCACTGAGCTCGAAGCCCGAAACGCGAGGCCGCCGAGGCCCCAACCGGCTGACAATGTCGAGTACCCGGGAGTGGCGGCCACTGGGAAAGACTTGCCACACCTAAGCCGCTAGAACGCAACCCAGACTTTCTCTGACTCTGCTTGCGCCATTCTGGTCCGAAGCACCGTAGGCCTTGGGACCTGCAACGGCATTATGCATCCGGTGTCGCCCAAGGCACCGAAAAAATACCTTACGCTCAGAATCTCTACTGACGTTTGCTTCCTAAAATGTTTGGCCCTGCACATCCTGGCTGGTAGGGGGGGTGCGGGGTTTCGGAGCTGCAGCTTCAGTTTGGTGACTCCTTCCGGAGTCTGGTGTGCAAGCCGCAAGAGATGCAGCCTTCCAGATCACAACTGGTATGTGCTGCTTAGCTGCTTAGTAGGCACTCTACAGCTAGAAGCGTCCGGACACACTCCAGCTCCTCCTTCCAGCCAGATAAGCTTTGCATCCTTCAGCCAAAAGGCAGTAGACTCTGTAGACTCATTTCAGGCTGAAAGCGGAAACTCTTTGAACCAAGACGAGCCCGGGGGCAACCATTGAGAAACGGTCGCGTGCAAACAGAGGGAAGCGTCCCAGTCTGGAGTTCTGAGTCTGGGTCTACGGTACTACCTAAACCTGAACCCTGAAACAGACTCAACTGGCCTTTTGCTCCTCCCACTTGCTACAGGCGTCTGGAACTTGAGCCTCCGAAGCAGGCAAAGGTCCCTGAATCTCAAGGCCCCGAGCTTAAACCCTGAAGCAAGAAACAGGACGGTGGAAGCAAGCGCCGCAGCGATGCCAGCCACTATCTGAACGAAGCAGTAGATCATCACCTCCGGAGCTCAAGGGCCAGTGGTTACGGTTTCGGGGTTCGTGCCCGGGATTGCAGCTAGATACAACTACCCTATAGGAAATGCTTTCTCCCATCCGGAAACTGCTATGCTAGATGAGCAGCCTCAAACTTGAACTTGAGCCTTCATCCAGAGGTCATTGGCTTTGGGGTCTGGCTTGATCTGGGGCTTCAATCATGCGGAATCTGGATTTGGTATTTGGGGTGGCCTTGAGTTTGCTCGTCTTGGATACAGATTTCAACTTCTGGGGCGGGGCTTCGGAGTCAGGGCTGGTTGCTAATTGACTGCACACGTCCCGCAATTGCATTGATTCAAACTTGAATCAGTGTGGCGAAGCGCAGGGTAGCAAGGTAGATTTCTGCTCTATATGCTAACATTATCTTGACTGATGACAAGCACACGCGCACGACATCTGAAGCTTGCCAGCTGGAGCTGATCGGAATGGAACCCTAAGCTGTTGAAAACAATTGCACGGGAAGTCCTTCATGAACATGGAAAAGCTTCGTACACCTACACCTGTTAACACTGTTCGAACAACAACATGTAATCACCATGAACCGTCCAGCCTCACTGTACCTCGATGGTAGACGCGACAGATGAAAGAAGTACTGAACCCTACAACTAAATCGGTGCTTCACAATTCCAGCAAGCTCCGAGGATGACACTGGGAGTGACAGTCTGCCTGCATACGTGTGACTTCGGAAACCGGCCTGTCCCCACTCCATTCCAGGTCCACCCAATGTTTTGGTGCAGCCCAGAGCCACCGAAACCGCCTTGGGCTAGCTTTAACTTCGGTGCTCAGGCTGACAGGCTGCACCTGACGACCATGCTGCCGTCGTTTGCCGCGCTTTTCCTATGACTGCATGCGACAGACAGCATCTTGATGCTGCGTGCCGCAATCGAAATGAACGTGAACACTGACCATGATGAGGCTGCTGATGGTGATGGTGTTGCTGGTGATGATGATGATGATGATGATGACGACAATGACGATGTCATTCATTAAGTTGACGAGGAGGACGATGAAGCTTGAGCGGCATCTCGATGAATGGATTTGTGCTGATCGAGTGATGACGAAGAAATTGACGAGGAGCAGGGAGGAGGGGCAGCAGGACATGCTGGATAGCCAGACACCAACTCTTCAACCAACATTTCGCACGAGGCATCTACAGAGCGAGTGCCACCACTTCCGCTGGCACCGTCACCGCCGCTGCCGCTGCCACCCCTACCACCACCATCACAACCACCATCAGCAAAACGCCTCCGGCCATGACGACAACAGCAATCACCTCGACTACAGGCAAAAGCCTTGGGCAACATCATTGATCCAATACTCAACCCCAAACCGAATCACCCAAATCCAATACCTTGAACCCGAAAATAGCGCCATGTAAGTTCGAAATCTTAAACCCAACATCCACGAACCCTGACCAACTCTTGCAGGACCGGCCACAGGGTTAAAGTTTCCGCCGGAGATTTTTCCGAAAGACCTCAAGGTAAGGTGTCAAGACTTGGGGTTTTGGGTTCAGCTAGGTGCAGCTAGGTTTAGTCAGTCTTTGTGGCGGAGTGTATCAGCTAAACCCAGGGCTGAGGTTTGGGCTAGGGCCTCTAGGGCTCTCATCCAGGCTCAGTTATCTGCTATCCGAACTGATTCTTTCATGGTCACACGGGGCAGAAGCCCCCTGCCTAGGCAGCTCTGGTCCACCCAAATACCAACCCTCGACTGCTTCTTTCTACCTGCATTGTCGAATCACGGTTCAATCTGTTATATGCCCCTTTTTCCCCTGCATCAGAGTCAGGGCTCTGGGTCTCAGAGCTCTTCTGATTCTACGGGCAACACCAGGTTACAACGAAGTAGGACCATGTGTGTGCCGTGGAACTTCAACATGGGCCGTGGCCTCGTGCCATTGAGCCCTCCCTACGGGACCATAAGAGGCAAATGCCATACACCCAGAAAGAATCGAATAGAGACTAAACCCTAAACCACTAAACTCTAAGCCCTAAATCTCTGCTCTGAATCATTGGAACTATGTCTCCAACCCCAGGTGTGCGTGCTTTTTGACTGCTTCATGTTTGACGGTATGCATATGACCTGTATCCCGAAGAGGCGACCCAGATTTAACGTCACAGCCCGAACACCAAACTCGCGAGTCACGAAAGCACTGCCGGGTATGCTGCTGGATCATGACGAAAAGGACCGTGCCGATGGAGAAGCCACCAAACAGCGGAGATCCAGTTGCTAAGTTGCATACTACCTGCAGTCTTAGGCTTAACGTTCTCGGCTTGGCGGTTACTTCAATGTGGCCAAAGAGGGAGCGACAATCAAAGCCTCAATTAAGAAGCTCTCTACCGAGGGTTGCAAGAAGCTGTCCTATGTTGCAAGGTCTGATCCAGCAGGACTGAAAAGCCCCTGCGCGTAGGGTCGGACCAAGTAATCGTGGTATGGGCAAGGCTGAGGGCTCATGGTGATCGGTGTACTGCAGCGGACATGTGAGTGCAGGAGCGACAATTGCCATGAAGCGACTCAGCAAATGCCGAAGAAACTAGGTGATCGACCACAACCGGAAGACAACGTGAGAGCAGGGACCCCCATGCTCCCGAAGCCAGCGGACAACAGGGGTAGAGTCTGTAAGAACAAAGACCACACATCCTTGAATCGGAAAAATAAGAACGTCTTGGTGACAACTGTAGGTCCAAGCCGTAAATCCTGGTGCTTGAAAAGTAAGTTGGCCACTTGTGCTTCTTGTGCTATAATCTTTGGTGCCAGGGTTCTTTGATCGTCTTTTATACGACACAGGTCTAGGGCTGAAATAAGATGGTATCTCGATTTTTCGGGTTCAGCACATCTGATCAAAGCAATTGACAAAAACTTGTACCCTTGCCATTCACATGTTCGGCTGCTAGGCTCCCGGGCTGTGAAGATGAGCATGAAGGTGCCTCAGCTGCTTCGTTTCTACCATGGAGCAGACATCGAAACCTCGCTGCCGTTGATTACGCACGAGTACTTCATCTGCAGCACAAACACAAAATTGAAACCTTCACTGTAGCCATGAAACATTAGATCCTGTATCCCTACACCCTGCACACCAGATGCACAAACTCAAACTCTGACCTCGAGTTCTGAACTTTCGGACACGCACTGCGAGATCCCAACACTTAACCCGAGATCGCAAGCCCGACTAAATCTTGAAGTCAACCCCAAGCCCGTTGCCAAGCAGTGCACTTGAAATCCTGCAAGCATTAGCCTGAAACGAAGACGAAGACATTTAGCGGTGAAATGCATGCCTACGTAGAATTCGGCTTTGTGCACGAAAGAATCTCTGACGAGCCAGGCTGCCATACTGGTAGGAGCATCTAAACAACTGAAAGGTGCATCCTAGACCAGAACCTCTGCAAGCCGAAGATTTAGGCCCGGCCTCGAATCACCTTGAACCCGTCCAACTGATCGCAATGCATAAACCCAACGCTCAAACATGCGCAGCACCACGTTGAAAGGGCATGAACCCTTCCTGGAGGATCTTACAAAATCCTAAACCGACATAGTTAGAGTTCACTATACAATCCCTACTGTTGAGCCCGCTGCCGACAAACTCGGCGACGCATTTGGCACGCAAGCTCGGCTCGGCCGCCATGGTGTTCGCTATCTGATGCGACATTGGGGCTGTTGAGCTTCAGGAAGTGTGGGGCCAGAGAGGCTCTTCGGCTTCAGGAGATCCTTGTTTTGAAGGCGCTTGGGGATCAGGCCTTAGGGGTTGAGACCTAAGGCGGCTTTGAACGCTTTTGGGCGGCTCTTCGCCTGCGAGGTGCAGGCCTACAAGGTTTGAGAGACTTGGCTGAAGGCTTTGAGTTCTGGGTCAAAACTGACAGTCTTGACTGCCAGGCGATTTGCGCCGAGGTTTTGGGCAAGAGTACGCCTCCCGAACAGGGGCATGTGACAAGATACGGCAACCTGCAAAACCTGCGCCGGTCTAAACTGCTGCAAACTCCAGCGCTGCTGCATCTGACCAGACATTCGTTGAACGATGATATGTACCTTTTTCTACACTCAAGGTATACGCTCAAACCCCTGAAACCTCGAACACAAAGCCAAGAAAGCCTATAGGCGGTGAAGATTCGAACTGAAACTGTGCGAGCCTGCATGCTGAACTCCACCACCGAAAATTACGTAACTTAAAACCAAAAGGCTCAAGGCCCCCAGCTCCACTACTGAGGCCACGACCGCAAAAGCCGCGTGATGCGTGCAAGATGTAGGGTTCGGAGATCGTGTGCTTAAGAGCTTGGGCCGGAAAAGCAGCGGAAAACATGTAATGCTGTCTACATACGTCCAGGATTGCGTGTGTCGGTGTACTCAACCAAGCATAGTTCAATACATAGCATCATGCCCCGCTTCCATAAACCCCAGGCACACCTAGATGCTCACCTCAGAGCAACATTTTGGGAAACTCTTTGTTGTTCAGTCGGTGTAGGTTCCGGGAAGATGAACCGTGTTCGGAGATCAGTGGCTCATTCTGAATGCACCGCCTGTCGGGCTCAGTGTTTCCCCTCTTCAGTCGCAGTCAGCACTGAGGCTTCGAGATCAAGAAACCTAAGACCCCGAGCCCAAAGGCCTGTTATGGTAGTTTCGAAGACGGAAGTCATTAAGATATCAAGCTTGCATGCTCGAGGCTGGTAAGGGCCATGGGCACTCGGAAGGTCTATGAGATTTCCGATTTCAGGGCATGTGAGCGCGCTGCAAATCCCAAAATCAGAGCTCGCAAACTCCTAAGTATTTATAGGGCTTGATGTGCCTGAGCCCAGACTGAGCCATACCAGCACCAAACAGAACTGGGAAGGCCTTTACCTCCTGGGCAGAACCGTGACACCACGACGGCTTGTTGAGCTGATCTACTCATCGGAAAATCCTCCAAGCCTTGAGCCTCCACACTGAAAGGAACGCTGTGACAGCCTTTTTAAACCCAAGCCAATCACCGGCAGAAAACACCATACTATACCGCCACCCCCTTTCGCTCACTTAGTACGGTGGCCGCGCCTGCTCCTTCCTCTCCCATGCGGCCGCAGGCCAGGGTGTAGTATTCTAGGGTTGTTCTTCTTGAGTGCGTCTACTTGCAAGGTTGCCTTGAGTGCGCGTTTTGTGCCAAGCAAGACCTGCATTCATCACAGGAGACGATGCACACCCGACTTGATGCCACATTGTCTCTCAGGTTGGGAAACCATCCCAACCAAACGAAACTAGCCGTAACTAGCCCAAATTAAAAGGCTTTCACATGCTGAACACTATACCAAAAATATTCTCGGCTTTACATGCCGGAGCTCGTACTCTTGAGTTAGTCGCTTCCGTGCAAACCGTGATCGAGTGAGGAAGGACGATTTTCCGATTCTGGCAAACGCTTCAGTTTTGTCCACCATTCATCTTCTGTCAAATCCCACAAGCTGTTCCAGAGGCAATAACCATATTGTATCCGAGGATGGAAAGAGTCTGCAACTCGGCTGTAACTCAGATCCCCCACTCGCAGTGGGTTAAAAATCCTTCGATATATATATATAGAGAGAGAGAGAGAGTGTGTGTGTGTGTAACACATTACGGGCCCCATACTTTCCAGACATGTGTTCTGTATATATATATATATGCATACATATGATATGATCTATATATATATATGTATATATTTATTTATTTACTTATTTATTTATATTTATACATATATATATGTATAATTACTGATATGTTTACTCACACATATATATATATACATATATTTATGTACGTGTATATCCATTTATTTACATATATAGATACATACACAGACATACCTCTTTACCTGCAAAAATGCGCATGTAAGTGCATACGTACTCACTGGATCACCTATGTCTATAGATCTTCTAGCACAGAATCAAGGCGAGGTCGAGCTTGGATTGAGGGCTTCGGCTGTGCGACAAAGGGCCCCGGGATTCCTGGCAGCCCTTGGATTCAGGCACTTCGAAATTCATTGACAAGTTTGCACTTTCGAGGCTCAGGGGGGCAAAGGTTGATTTCTGTGGGCAGCTCTCCACGGCCCTGCCTCGCCGATGCATAGCCTGCTCAGGGACTGCTTGCTGTTTGCAGAGGATCCGAGGTCATCTGACGTCCGACTCTATTGCCATAGAAGGGAACCGTGATACTCGAACCCAGAGACACACAAGCTGTGCGTGGAGCAAGCGAAGGCAACAGCTTGACCTGGACTCAGAGTATAGTGTTTGTACTTCAGGTACCAGAGCAAAGAGCGAAAGCTTGACAAGCCAAGGGCTTCGGTGGCTTCAGGTTGTCGCATTTTGACTGTATGCGATTATGAGGGAAGGATCTGTGAAGTGCTTCTTGCTGATGTTGTACTCTTGCTACTTTTCGGCTTGATGGATCTCTTGTCGTCAGGCACTCTTGTTGTGGCAGGGCGAGACAAGTCAACTAACAACTGCAACAGTCGGAACGATCTCCCCCTGTGGCATCAGACATCGCTGTTTGGAGTTGGAGCGCGGCACGTATCTGTACGCGTGGTTTCCTGTGCTTCCGAGTGGTTGGGGGGGACTGCTAACGTACATTTGTGGAGCATCCACAGGCCCGGCTCAACGTATTTTTTGTTATATACATAAACCTATATATACCTTATAGGTGATATATGATATGTTATATATTGTCTGTTGTACATTATCTGTTATCTGTTATATGTTATATATTATGTACTTATATATATATATATGTATGTATGTATATATGGATGGCTGTGCGCTGTGCGTTCTGCCCCCCCTCCCCCATGGTATGTCCCCCAAATACGGGGTCAGAAGGAGGGGGCCTGAATCAAACCACCCAATCACTCCACACGCAAGCTCAATAGGCGATACCAGTGGGGGGGAGAGGGGGCCCAGCCGGCGCGCAACCATATATATATATATATATACACACATACATACATACATACATACATACATACATACATACATACATACATACATAAGTATATATATATATATATATGTGTGTGTGTGTTCTATAACTTGGTATATATATATATATACACATGCTATATTTGATATTTTATGTTATATGCTTTATATGGTATGTTTTACCTTGTGTCTAATGTTGGAGTGGATTTAATAAACCGGGTGACAATCAAAACACCTCCCGGGCCAGGATTTCCAGGCAGAAGACCAGTTT